TTTCTGGCGACCTTTTGAGAACTTTCTGGCGACCTCTTGAGAACTCTCTGGAGACCTTCTGGAGAACTTTCTGGAGAATTACTGGAGACTTTTGGAGAACTTTCTGGCGGCCTTCTTGAGTACTTTCTGGAGAACCTTCTGGACACCTTCCAGAGACCTTCCAGAGAACCTTCTGGAGAACTTTCTGGAAGCTCACTGGGGCTGTCCCAGAGCCGTGTCTCCTCCTCCCCCTCCTCCCACCATCCATGGGTGCAGATCCTCCAGCATGGCCACGGTCCCACCAAGACGGTGGCAGGGGCGGGGTGGGACAGAGCAGGTGACCACAGAGGCCACCACAGGTGACCACGGGTGTCTCCCGCAGGGCCTGAAGAAGCCCAACATCGAGGAGATCCGGCACGCCAAGAACGCCGTGTTCAACCCGTCCATGTTCGGCAGCTCCCTGCAGGACATCGTGGCCATGCAGAAGGAGCGCTACCCCGAGCGCCAACTGCCCTGGGTGCAGACCCGGCTCTCCGAGGAGGTGCTGGCCCTCAACGGCGACCAGACCGAGGGCATCTTCAGGTAAAGCCACCGCCGGTGGGGATATCTCCTGGTGGGGTGGGACAAAATGGCGGCTAAAAATGGGGGGAGTTTGATCTTCTGGGGTTTTGATCCTCTGGTTGTTCCATGGCGGGGTTGTGGTGGCACCACCAGTGGGTTCCTSCAACTCCTTGTCCAAGATCATGGAGGAACCTCCATGGTGCCCACCAAGATCATGGCGGAGTCTTGGTGGCACCATCCAGGGAGTTCCTCCATGGTGGCCACCAAGATCATCTCAGGGTTGTGGTGGTACCATCTCATTGATTCCTCCATGGTGGCCACCAGAGTCATGGCAGGATTTTGGTATCACCATCCAACAACTTCTCCTTGTCCAAGGYCATGGAGGAACCTCCATGGTGGCCACCAAGATCATCTCAGGGTTGTGATGGCACCACCAGTGGGTTCCTCCAACTCCTTGTCCAAGATCATGGAGGAACTTCCATTGGTGGCCACCATGAAGGAACCTCCATGACCTTGGAGAAGGAGAAGTTGGTGGATGGTGGCACCAACACCCTGCTATAATTCTGATGGCCATCATGGAAAGATCTCCATGGCTTTGGAGCATGAAGTGGAGGAACCCACTGGATGGTCCCACCACAACCCTGAGATGATCTTGGT